CATTAAATGTCAAATACGTTAGAGAATCTGAATTAAATAGAAATGATTGTATAACGTTTCTTTTAAATATCATTTATTGCTCATAATTGCCTCATTAAGACAAAGGCATTATATCTCCTAGAATCAACTATAAAAAGGGAAAGACTCAACATCTGTAAGGACAAAAAAAATACGATTGAGATCTCACTGAAATACAAAACTATTTATTGCTTTACCATCATTCTCAAAAATATTTTATTTTCGTCTCCTGATTATCAGTAACCCGAATTTCTTTCTAGCTTTGACCAAAGACTCAGATTTTTGGTTAAACAAACACGATTATGAGCAACCAGTTTTCCCATCAACAAATCATAAGTCTTTAACCCCGGTTTGCGACCATCCTCTTTCATATTTGCAAAGACAGTCATAGCATGATTAGTTCTCTCAATCCCACATAATATTTTAAAAAATTCATAATAGGCCTTCTTATCAAGTGCATCCCCAAAACCTGTAGATTTCATTCTATCAATCATTTCATCACAAATTTGAAGGAAATTGGAAATGCAATAAGCTTCGAGAATTAGGTGAGTTGTGAGCGAAATTTCGATCGATTCTCAGATCTTTAATACCATGTTAAGAGCTTGCAAGCTCTGTCAACGGTGAGAGAGATGCAGAAAAGTGAAGATGAAGACAGAGGAAAAAGAAGCTTCTAGAAAATGATTTGTTATTTTCACTCACTAAGCTAACAACACACTGTACATCCTTATATATATATATACAAATATAACTGACTCCTTAATTACTAACATTAGCACTAACTAACTAACTAATTTGCCAGCTCATATACAGCTCAGCATCCCTCAACATCTTTGTTCACTTATGTAACAATGTTCAAGAGGCTTCGAACGCCAAAGTTAAAAAAAACTTTTATTTTGAGGCATTCGAGCTCATCGTACAACTTCACTTGGATTTCTTCAATTTGAAACACCTCCTTGAGTCAGCTACCCTGATCTTAACAATGTAAAATGCTCTCAAGAACATTAAATTATGTTGAAATGGATACATATAAGAAAAATATTCTCCGTCCTTGGAATAGTACGTTTTACAACTGCAAGGGTTCGCTTGTTGACTGTTATAGGTAATGATTGCTTAATATTCTCATCAATTAGCATTCTTTCACTGTTACGGGGTAGTAGTTTTTTGCCTTTTAAGGGAAGGAGTGGAGGTTAATAATTTGGTTATACATAATCAAGAACAATTAGGACGTAACATCTACTATAAAGGGCCAGTGTAGCGTACAGTGAAGTCACTAATCAGAAGTGATGATATACAACAACAACAGAAGTGATGCCAGCTTCTCTTATTTCCTCTAGCAAACCTTTGCTTCTTCGCAGTCGTCTTGTCATCTACCTTGCCTCATGCAGGTACAGTACGTACCCATAGACAGGAAATTGTATATTATTACAGCTTCTTTCTCTTTTGTTCCTTTGGTAACTAATTACACACTATTCTTTTCTACCTTCAGATGCATTTTATTGGTAACATCACAATAAAATGGGATGTCATGTCTTGGACACCAGATGGCTATGTAGTAAGTATTTTCTTAAAACGATATCATGACACGAAAGATTATATGAGTAATAACAATCCAGGCTGTTGTAACAATGAATAGTTTCCAAATGTATCGGCACATCATGAGCCCCGGTTGGGCTTTAGGATGGAAATGGGCAAAGAAAGAAGTGATATGGTCAATTGTGGGAGCACAAGCAACAGAGCAAGGTGACTGCTCCAAGTTTAAAGGAAACTTACCACATTGTTGCAAGAAGGACCCTGTAATTCTGGACTTGCTTCCTGGGGTTCCTTATTGTTACACCTCCTTTTTGCGCGCCCGCCCCGAAGGGTAAAAATGCGCGAGGGAGTTTTTCCAATTTAAGTGACAATATTCGAAATGAGATTATTTATTTAATTCAGAGTCGCTATTTGGGAAAGGTTTGGCTTTTGGTGCCCCAAGTCACCGGTTTATCTTGAATCCCAAATCGAGGAAATTTTCGACTTTCCAAATGAAGTCTGCGAACCATAAATTCTAAGTAAGGAATTCTGTTGACCCGAGGGAAGGTGTTAGGCACCCTCGAATCCCGTGGTTCTAGCACGGTCGCTTAAATTGTTATAATGGCTGAAGATCTGATTTAAATACATGTTGTGACTTATGTGTTTTTATTAAGTTTAAACCGTTTTTATTATTATCATTTATTTTTTATAGAATTGCAACGTCGCGAAAATGCATCTCGAACCACGTCACAATCAATGCACCCGTAGTTGTTAACACATTTCGACTCCGTTGAGATTTGAATTTGGGTCACATAAATGCGCACCCGAATTTAAGAATGTAATTTAGTTAAGTCGCGCCTAAAGAGCCTAACGCGTTATTATCTTTGGGGAAGACAGTGAAATTCACTAAACAGTCCCTCCTAAATTCTAAGTATTTTATTTGTGACCAATTATTGAGGGCCCCGCAATTTGCATTGTTTTATTTGGCGAAGCTCATCTCATTTTATGAAAGGATAAGCCTACGATGACTATATTTTTCTATTATGTTCGTCTCTAAGAAATGGAAGAGAAAAGGTCTTAATTTATTTACATGCTTGAGTTGTTATAGTTGGGTTTCGAATATGATTCATAAATTCTGAAAATGATACAAACAGGGCAGTCTGTCGCCAATGCGGGCCCAGGCCCAACGTGTATGACATAAAACTAGATCTGGGCCGTCTTATTCACATGTTACTACCTAGTTACATTATACTAGGCATGTTCTCAGTTTGTCGAATTAAAAAAAACTTAGCAATCTAATTTTAATCCTAAACCATTTACATGCTGAAATTAACCAATATTATTTAACTAAACAATATTCCTACAAGTTCCGAAATGGTCTATTCGTTTGATTTTTAACTAGACGGAGTTACTACACCATTCATTTATTTTTAGGCAATATATATAGATAGTTCATCCGTTAAGCTATCGTCAGATGTTCCACTATATATATTAAATAGCTACATGATTCTGATTTTTGTAAGCTAAATAATTTATATATACAAATAAAATTCAGAATATAATTAAAATAAATTTAGAACTTCAACTCTTCATTTTCGTATTCATGCTTCATGTTTCAGTTTACAATAATCAGCGTGTCAGTTGTGTACCTGATATTGGAAACAAAGAAAAGGGAGATCAGCAGAAATTCAGTAGCATACAACAACAGCAACCCCAACAACCAGTAACAACTAGCAACGAGAAACTTAGTGACAGATTTTAAAATCAAGACCAAAATCCAGAAACACCAACAACAAACAACGGACAGAAGCAAAGAGAATCCTTTCAGATTTTGAAAGACTAGTTAGTGTTTAACCCTTAATTTCTGAATCTGTATATCAGAATATTTGGATTGTATATTAGGTGTATACTATTCTTCTTTTAAATTTCCAGAATGTTTTTCTTTTTATTTTCTAAAGTCTTAGTATTTTTCGGAATTTCCTCTCTCTTCAAATTTTCTTCTGTATTCTCTCCCTTATTATCTGTCTTTTTTAAAATCTGATTCAAGTCTTTCTATTTATATCTCATCCCAAACACTTTAATCAATTAATAAAACCATCACTTTCTCCTACCAAACCCACTATCTTCCCACTCATCCCCCACTACATTAAACAAATATATCAATCCAACTCATTACATCTTGTCCCCCATGCCTACTATAAACAATTACAATATTCCCCCCACTACATTATGTCTTGTCTCCCATTATATTAAACAATTATATCACTCACACCCCATTATATTTTGCCCCCATGCTTAACATAAAGAATTATTAAAAATGTTCAATTCCCAAACAACCCCTCCGACCTTATTGCAATTACCATTTTACCCCTGAACGTACTGCATTTTACCAAACTACCCCCCATNAATTACCAAACTACCCCCATCAGCTATAATCAATTCACCTAATCAATCTCAACCAAAATATAGCCAATATGACCAATTTCTAAACAAATTCAACAACAATTCAAACTAAATGATGAACAACATCAAATTAATGTGAATGAATTAACCATATTAGGAACCAATCCTGGTTAACTT